CGTTTCGCAGAAGTACAAATTTTGCGACAACCCGTCGTTTGTCGTAAATTATTAACACGCGTCATGTAAATATCACCGACACGTAAAATATCTGTCAACTATCCGGATTTTTATTTCTTGGTTAACTTGTGGTTTAACCTTAACCTGATAAAATTATGTTTCTCTATCGCGTAGTTTTATATTAAAATTTTAAAAACATTAAATATTTAAATTATTAAATTTTAAAAGTCACTACAAAACCATCAGTTTAATGATTAACCATGAATGGGAAAACGCAATTTTTGCATTATAACTGGTTTACATTTAAACCACAAGTTAACCAGAAAATGAAAAACCTAAGAAATCCTCGGATTGAAATTCTCGAAGACAACAAGTGACACGAAGCGCGGAAGTCAGAACTTCGTTTTTCAGCTTGGTTTCACAAACGATGCTTTTCCATGCTTTATTTTGCCTTTCTTCCTGCGGCATAACGATAGAAGAAATTAAGATTCCTAACAATAATTCCATTACAATGACTATCTCATAAAGTGTCATTTACTGCCAATCGCCACGAGCAGTTTGAAGGAGAGTTTCGGTATCTTAATGATCAGCGATCGGCCAGAGAATTCGTCGCTTAAAGTGTCATTAAGATCAAGCGTTTCAACATTGCTGTCTGTGCACGTGCGATACAACACCGTTCGATCAGCGATAATGAAAGGTTCCTCGTGCTTGCCAGATGCGCCCGTATGCACATAGAAGTGGAGATAAGTGTCCACCAGCTAGTGTGTGTTAGCCGCGAAATGTCATTGACACAAACGCGCGAACGCCACTTCTTGCCACGTGCAACCTTGAAAAAAACGCGCCTCGGCGGCGGCGGCGATTGTGACTGCCGGCGACACGGTATCATCTTCGGTCGCCGATGTGCTTGAAGAGCCGAAAGAAAGAGAGGCACCTCGCAAACCTGACGGCAGAGGATAGAACGAAACACGAGAATGAGGCAATCTCGTATCATCGTTATCGCATTTATCGTTTTAACGGAGAAACGTATTTCTTCTTGTGGCAAGTCGTTTTCAAAGCCGACGTACGTAACACGAAATATAACAGGTCGTGCGCGTCGATCGCCGCTGTTTTTAAAAGTGTACCGCTATTTGGATCTCTTATCGTCGAGCATTATGATGATAGCATCCCATCTGATAATAGTTCCGATCATAGTGCACGAGAATGCCGAAGTTATGATAACGACCACCGATATAGTATCGGCAATAATCTGATGTCACTATAATACACGAATATATGTGTGTGCGCGCACGCGCGCGCGCGTGTGTGTGTGGGATTCGTCTTCCGTTTGCTTGAAATTGGATTGTCGTATTGAGAACAATGGAAATATGATATCTGTCGAACGCCAGTGCGCCGATGTTGCTCTGTTATAATTTATAAAGAAATTAATATTTAACGTTACGAGTTTCTGTTCAAAGCGTGAAAATGCAATTATTCGTGTATCAATTAACATTAAATGCATCGATTATCATCCGACTTTATTCCCTAGAATATAATCCATGACCCAATCCGCCGATTGATTATCGTCGTTGGTTGATGTTTGCAACGTGTGCGTCTTATCGTTCACCATCGGGCTGCGAAAGATAAAATTACGTACGATCGATTTCTTCTGATTGGATAATTTCTACGCGATGCACTGTGAAAAAATGTATCTCAATAATAGCAGAACCGCGGAATTCATTCGACACGGAGAGAAATATCATTTCACTGCTAAGAAAAGCGATTACTTTCTGTTTACTTTCCTTGTTTTAAGTAATAATTATCTTCAACAAAGAATATTCTATTGATAATAGTCTTAAAATAACCAACCCAACACAAATTTTGGAAAAGCCCCTTATCGCACGTACTTGAAAGAAAAGTTCATTCCCTCCTCCTCCGCCCACTTCCCCTCTTTTCAAGAATGTCATAACCCTTATAAACGAAAAATTAAATTCGGTTTGAGTAAACACACATACACATACAAACCAAAGATTGTTTTAATTTAATATTTTTAATTGAAGCACGTAACTTACTACATTGAAAAAAGGATTTAGTCATAAGTACTAAAATTCGGCAAATATTTGCCGATCAAATATTGGGTTATATCAAATATTGGATCAAATATTGCAATCAAATAATTTAGTTTAATGTATATACAATATTGTAGTTCTGTACATTGTATATTTAGTACACGGAATTAAATTATAATTGGTTACGGTAATCAAATATTTCGTCGGTAAATATTCATCAAATTTTAGAACTTAGCATCAAATTCTTCTTTCAGTGCAGTATTCAGAATATATTTTGAATAAATTTATCGCTTGATGAATTTACGATATATTTGCGGATATGTTAACTTATGAGATACTCGAAACCGGTAACATTTACTTGATATATTCAATGACATTTGCTTGATGATGCAGTATTTTTCCGTATTATTACAATTCTTATCAATGGGGAATTACGAAATGTTAAAAGTAAAAAAAGGAACAGAAGTACAAAAATTACTGAAGAAATAAATTGAAAATAGGAACGATGTTTCAATGGCACCGAGAGACGATACGATAAGAAAGATTCGCGATGCATCTCGAAATGACCTATCGCGAATTCGGCGATCGTCGAAATTTGTAAAGGTCTCCGATTTCGCGCGTATAATGTCTCTCTTGTTTTTGTAAAATATTCGAAAGAAAAGCGATATCTCACGGTCTCACAAGCTGCACTCGATAAGAAGCGTGGAATGGTGTGTTTCTGTGCAGTGAGGCGGGCGTAGTGTGTGTAAAGGTGGGTATACACTGAGCGAACGAACAACGCACGAGCGAGCGGCGAGTGTGTAACATGAATGTATACATTCGCGTACAAACGCATACGAACTTTCTTTGATGAACCACCTTATGAGTAAATCGATCAGAAACGTTCTGTTCGGAACTCGTTATGGCGTACACTGAAAATTAATTGTCATAACCAGACTTGGGCAGATCTAAACAAATAATTTGGTTAATATCTATTATTTGAACGTTAATATCGGTTTGTTAATGATATATATTCAACAAACTTTTTGTTACTGTTTAGTTACTATAGCCAGAAAGTTTAGTTCTTTAATAAAAATAAAAAAAAGCTATTTTTACCAAGTATCGAACCTTGAATTTTCAATGCCGCAGTCTAATGTCTTATCTAGCTGCACTGTAGATTTCTTTAAAGATATATTAGATGTTTCTACATATGAATTGCTTAGAATTATTAAAATTTTAAATATTGTGATATTTTTTAGAAGATCATTTTTCCCATTAAAAATCACGAATTTTAAGTTCTTTTTAGAAACCAGAAAAAACCAAACAAATAATTTGGTTGCGTTAATTTAAACGAATTTATGAAGTTGTTGTTTTCTCCATATTTGATTGGCGCAAATAAAAAATGTTACATCGTCAATAATGCGTATCAAATATTGTATTATGAGTTACAAAAATAAAGTTTTCAGCGTATGGCCAGTAACAAAAAGATTCCAACATTTTTCGGCGAGTTTCGCAACGCATCTTTTACCCAATGGAAAAATGTATCTCTTGTGAATAATTGGAAAACAGATTCTCCTATTAGATACGGAATTCGTTCCGAAATTTATTACGAAAAAAAGTGTTGCAACTTTCTCGTGACTCGGACTATAAGTAAACTAAATATAAGTAAACTCTATTAATGCTTTATCATTCTCTAGACAATCTTTAAAATTTCCCAAATTTTTGCGTTATTTTTCAATATTCGTGCATCATTACTGCTACTTTGGAGAATCGTTCGCCGATTCTTTAAATTATCAACAGTCACGATGCACGAGTGGTACTCCTGAATGGAAACTTTCAATGTCATTGTGCCTAAGGAATGGCATTAATGGAGCCTGCTGTACATATTCCAGATTGTAACAACGAAAGTTTGCATTCGCAGCTCGTTCCTCGTTTGTGCACCTCAATGTATACTCAGTTCAACAAAGAGGACGCACGCTGCTGCGAGTTTACGGCTACGTTTACGGTGCCGAGAACACCTGAATATTCAGAAAAAGAAAAAGAGAGAGAGAGACGGCCGGTATCGGCCGACAAAGAACGTGCGAAAATGGAAAAGCTTATAAAGTGTGCGGCTATTAATTGACGCAGATCGTCTCCACCGTCTGAATTACGATATGGGTGTTACGATGATTAGTACGTTTGACGTGTAAGAAAAAAAAATACGTGCCTCTGTGCACGTACGTACACGATACACCGAACGTCAATCACCGTTAATCTCAATCCAATGTTCCGCCTCCTGCGATCTTTGTGCGTCTAATCGCAGACTTGCGGGATTACTTGTTTGCTTTTTCGCGCGATGCAATGCCGCAAGTGTGACTTTGCGAAGTCGCAGCAGGATGTCTGCTGCCTGGATTAACGTGGAGAACCTGCAATTCTTAGGTCACTTGAATGATGCCTGGAGAAATCAGGGAATTCAAATATTAGCTCTCTTCTTTTACGTTTATAATAGATTCACTTTTTATTCTACATCTACGTATGTAATTTAAACGTTTAATTATGTTGCTCTGATGTTTAGAACACATTGATTTTATCATTATTATATATTGACTAATCTGATATTTAGTATTGAAGACAACGGTGTCGTGTTGTTAGGTGCAATTTTGTCTAATCAAGACAGATATTTATTTGAATAATCTTGCAAAAGTTGAATTTTTTGTATCGGTTATGCATTATATAATTTTTTCTAACTCTTGAAGATAAAATTTTTCAAATTTAATCATTAAAACTCGAATGGTTCTTAATTTTATTTTATAAACTTTTATAAATGGAGAATATTAAGGATTTTGCATAGTAGTAAATATATATTTATTTGTAAAACACACTTAAAAACACTCTTATTTTGGAATTTTTAAGAAATTGTCTGAAAAAAAGTCAGAGGACTTTTTTTCAGGTTTGAGTAGACCTGTGTAATGAATATCCCAATTTTTACATTTTCAGCATGTTATGCATCCAAGAAGAGCTGGGTCAGCTAAGTGCAATCGCAGGGAGTGCCGCGATCACCGATCCGCGAGAAGCCCAAGTACCAAACAGCAGTCACACCAACTCGGAAAATAATAGTAACGCCAGTGACAAATGTAGCCCCGGATCAGGAAGCCTCGATTCGCAACGATCTAGTTGGGTCGAAGGCATACTAGGGTGCATGCGTCCCGTCTGGACTATGCTGTCGAAGGCTGCTGTAAACGAGAAAATCAAAGGTCACTCGAGTAAGTACCTTGTGAAGTACCTTCTTTTCTTAGGTGGCTTCCTCTTTTACCTTGTCCTTTTGCTCGGTGAAATTCTCGAGTCTGCGCCAAGAAACTTTTATACATTCAATGTATAGTTTTAGATTGACAAGGAATTTTGCAATAAAGTTCAAATATCCTTTTGCGACAATAGAAGCAAACAATAGATCCAGCCTGTAGTCGAGTAATTAAGGATGTATTGCCCATTAGTGCTGTATTTTCAGTGGCGTATTAAAGCGGCCACTCATAAATTTAGTATTTATTTATCAAGCAAACGTTCTTATATACTTATCTCACTACCTGAATAATAAATGTTAATTTGAAACGAAGAGTTGAGGTAGACATGTACATGTAATATTTCGAATACGAAGATATTATTTTTTTGCTTTTCTTATTAATGCTATTTTTATTCGTTAGTTGATCTAACGGAGATGCGCAGATAATAGAAATAGGTACATAAATGTTTATGTTATGTGCATATGATGTGCATCTCAAGTATTACTATCAGTTATAAATTTTATGCTACTGTATTTTTAAAAAATGGCCAATAAAATTCTGAAATTTGTGCATAATAATCTGCACATTCGTTTTTAATACCATAGTACTTTTTCGTTAAAATTTGATCCAAGTTCTGAATTACCGTCAAGCTTTTGGTGTCACTTTTAAATGCAATGCAGAGATCAATTTGTAATTTTTTTTTTTGTTTTTCATAATTTCGAACATTTATGGACAATATATCCTTAACAAGTCAAACTTGGCACGACGACTATAAACGTTATATCATTTTAGCGGATGATTGGGAGATACCTTTTGAATCGATCAGCGAGCTGCAGTGGCTCGGGTCCGGTGCTCAAGGTGCGGTATTTAGCGGGAAACTAAATAAGGAGGTTGTAGCTGTGAAAAAAGTGAGAGAGCCGAGAGAGACTGACATACGCCATTTGCGGAAGCTCAATCACCCGAATATTGTGCAATTTAAGTAAGATCCGCCGTTCCTTCCGCACTATCGCTGCTTATCCCACGATATCGCGGTATTGTGAGCTGATTTGTAAAATACACCGTTTTATATTCACAGAGGTGTATGTACACAAGCCCCGTGCTATTGCATAATAATGGAATTTTGCCCATACGGACCATTGTACGACCTTCTAAGAGCCGGGGAACCGGTTCCCCCTACTAGATTGGTGTCATGGTCAAAGCAAATTGCTGCAGGAATGGCATACCTTCATTCCCACAAGATCATCCACAGGGACCTCAAGAGTCCAAAGTAAGTGAACAATGCGAATAATATCTTCGTCGATATCAGTTTATTCAGAAAAACTTCAGCCATCCCGTATCTACGGTGTACGTCGCGCTTCTTGTACGAAATTTTTGATCAATTTGAACGCGAGTCTCTTTCGAGAGACTTTAGCTGAGAGACAAAAATTTCTCTCAAATTGGCTAAAAAATTTATGGTGATTAAAAATAGACTCGCCTAGGTGTGGGAAGGTGAAAACAAAGTTAAAAATACGAATTTGCCTTTGTAAGTAGAATAGAATTCGAGATTTCTGTACGTAGAAAGCGATCGCCGCAGAATAACGGGAAATATTGTACTCGCAGCGTTCTGATAGGACAAAAGGAGGTGGTGAAGATCAGTGACTTCGGTACGAGCAGGGAGTGGAATGAGATTAGCACGAGGATGAGTTTCGCCGGTACGGTGGCGTGGATGGCGCCTGAGATAATCAGGAACGAACCGTGCTCGGAAAAGGTGGACATATGGTCGTACGGCGTCGTACTGTGGGAATTACTTAGCGGCGAGATACCTTACAAAGACGTGGATTCCTCCGCTATTATTTGGGGAGTCGGCAACAATTCCCTCCGCTTGCCAATCCCAAACAGTTGTCCCGAGGGTTACGGTCTATTGGTCAAACAATGCTGGGCAGCTAAGCCACGTAACAGACCGTCCTTCAAGCTTATCGAGATGCATCTCTCTATAGCGGCAGTCGACGTGCTATCTACGAAGCCCGAAGATTATTTTAAGGCACAGGTACGACCGTTTATCATTTGCACCTCTTTGCTGACACTTCTCTTCTTTAAACAAAGAAAAATCCGATTTTCTCTATACATTTGTTTCGATATCGGCGTTGATTTTGTAACACTTTATTAGATGTAGGATCGTTAGAAATTTTCAACCACTCACATCGTACATTCATATATCATGACCGTCAATTATTTGACGAAATAGCAATTGTATATGTGTGTGTTGCTTCTTTCTTTATATATAATTTTATATTTTATGTTACAAATGTTGCTGTGTTTGAATAAGATTTTAGATAATTTAGAATATTTTTCTTAGTTCATCAAATAATCAACAGCTTCGTTGCACGGACATCTATGTACGATGTGTGTAATTGAAAATTTCTAGAGACCCTGTATCTAGTAAGTGTCTAAAAACCAATGCCGGTCCTTGCACGTGCAAATACAGTTAACCGATTGAAGGTTGCAACATTTTTCTAGACGAATGTCGCAACGCATTCCGTGGCCAATAGAAAAATTAATTTTTTAGCCATTCTCAGAGGATACACATTTCTATTGGATATATGACTGTGTAATTTATAGTTATATTTGTTATATTATTATATTACTTATAGTATATATATTTTTTATTATCACAGTCTTTATATAGAATATTTATACAAGTACAGCTTTTGAAGTACTGAAAACTGTACGGTGTATAATTGTCGATACTAACTTACTATGCTTCAAAAATAAAGGCGACTCGAATTGTTGAGTAAGCCGTGTGATAACAAAATTGTCTTTGTCACAGCAATCTTGGAAGAAGCAGATAAGAGAACATATGATGCAAATGCAATCAAACAGTAACAGCAGTCCGCGTTTCGAAGCCGACCTGATCCGCCGGAGGGAAGACGAATTACGGCACGCTCAGGATATCAGAGAACATTACGAACGCAAACTCGAGCGGACTAACAACTTGTACTTGGAATTGAGCGCCGTGTTGTTGCAACTAGAGCTACGCGAACGAGATGTAATAAAGTAAGTAACATGTTGTGCTGTACATTTTGCTGAACAGAGGCGACGCTGGTTACGCACATGGACGAATAAATTAGAAGTAAATCGACGTACGTTTGCAGGAGAGAACAACAATCCGGTTACAAGCAGTGCAAGAAACGTCTTGTCCGTCCCTTGTTGAAAGCCCAAGAGAGGCTCTACCGTAAACGAAACGGCACGGTGCACTTGTCCACCTCGTCCACGCCTACTACTCCACCCTCACCCACGGACTTGCCGCAGAGTCCTGTCAAAGCCATTATGTACACGCAGCTGAACGAATCTAATCAGCCGGAAACCGTTCTGGCACCGAGCAACAGCTTCAAGCAACGTAAATACAGACATCGTAGGGTTGGCTCGGGCTGTGGCGTGAGCTCCAGTCCCAGATCCAGCCCTCATCGTGAAAGAAAGGCAAGAACTTGACGTTAATAATTCGCGATGAATGACGAATCGTTTCGACGAAATACGATGGTGCGTGAAATGTACACGTGTGGTAAATTCGTTATTAATTTATAATAAATGAAAAATAATATCCTCGTCATATTTTCCGTTATAAGAGATGCTTTGTTTATCAGAGTTAAATTCTCGAGAGATACGAATACATTTGTACATACATGCATATATTGCGGTTATGCAGAATACATTGCAGTTGATAATTAGCATTAAACGCGCACTACACATTGGCATTGTTCTTTTTCGTTAGAGCACAGAAGTACCTGCAAGATTCGTCGATAATCACACGCAAACGGACATAATGGACATCAGCGAGACAGACCACAGCCCGGTAGCGAATGCGGCGCATTCTCTAGCGGAGAGGTGCTCCTTGGACGGCGGCGTCCGGAGACTTTCGTTGAATAAATCAGCGGCGGAGTGTCTGAACGGCAATCCGGCTTTGCCGGAATCGCATTACAGAATCGAGTCTAGTCCGTGCTCCAGTCCCGAACCTTTGGATGAAAATAACTCCAATGGGAATGAGCGTTTGAAGGATTGCAGCGACGACGATAATCTCGAGACGCTCGGCAGAAAAGTCAGCGAGATTATTAATGCAAATCGTCTTATCTCACCCATTGACAATGGAAACGGCGAGGATGTCCTAATCTCTCATAGGTACTCTCTCATACAATACTACATACTTGCTAGGATACAAGATTTATTTTTATCACTTGCTCATTTTGAATCACAATTAATCTGAAATGGAAATTTGAATATAGCGCACCTATTAGACGTTTATTTGTAACGAGGACAAAATACATTGATGATTTTTGCTATCTAGATAAAATGTTTATCTGATAAAATAAGTGTTTTCTTTTTTCTTTAACGGTTAAAATAGCTGTTAAAGCCAAGATATTTTGGAGTTGTCGAGCGAGACGGTGTAACTTGAGGATTAACATTTTAATAAATGATTAATATTGATCGAATGCTTAGTAAATCAATGAAATTGTTGCAGTAGGAACAAAGAAGATCCGGCCAAATTAATTCACTTTTGCGGTATTAACGTCAACGGGACGAATATTCAGCAAGAACAGTCCGACATTATAACGCGAACAGACATTACAAATGATCGCGAAGATGACGCGTGCGAAGAGAGCTGGTCAGACGAAGAGGGGGAGGACCCGAGCTATACTTATAACTATTTGCGACGAAGAAGGTATGTTTAATCGTACACAATGAGAATACGCATTAATTTTGCAAATTTATTCAGTGCTTGTTACTGAGTGTTTAAATTCTATCGCATGATTATACATTCGGTCGTCTACATACATTACAGTATCGCAAGAAGGCCGATAGCTCCTGGCTGCAGATTAAGAAGATCGAAACAAACGACCGAAAGAGCAAAGGTGGTGTTGGCCTCCGATGAGGAAAATACTTCTGAATATTCGCATCCTCCGTCCAGTCAGTCCTCCACTTTAGAAAGCAACCCGGATGTTCAAAGGGCTTTCCGTGATATACATGATTCTCAAAAGGTGAGTGAATTACTAGATACGATTCGTTTATCTCTGCGATATATGGAGTTCTGAGAGTATCAAGTTTGCGAAAAACGATACACGATGACTCCCGCAAGAGAAATGAGACGGGATATTAAAATATAACGGTTTTGTATTTGTCAACCCAGAGGAAGGAAATGGACGACGCTTCTGACACGTCGAGTCAATCAGAAACGGACGAGGTCAGTGAGGTTACAATTGCATCTCAACCGGCGAGCGGAACTAAGAAGATAGAGAGCAGAGTATAGACTATACCTTTTAGTGTAATTTTTATATCTGATTTGTGAACGATTTATAGCGTAGTTACTACTGCCCAGTGAATTCGGTAATTACGGCATCCCTCATTCTGCATTCTTATGTTAAATATGTAGATATATTTATCTGTTCATACCTATACATACATGCGACATTGACACACATACATATATGCATATATATATATATATATATATATATGTACCCAGTGAGATGCAAAATGGTTTGGAGGCAGCCAATTCAGAATGCAGCCGATGGTCCGATGAGAAAACTTGTTTCTTACTAATTCGTCTTCTTATTGGATCATCAAATGCTCTCCGAGCTTAGCTACGTCCAAAATTGTTTTGCTTCCCGCTGTACAATTCATACATACATGCATCTGTACGTCATATGTACACGTATATACATATATACATTAATAAGGAATATGTAATATTATTTAGAAGATATAAGCAAACGATTATTCTGAGATTCGACTCTTTACACATCTCTTATTTAAATGCGGCGAATCCGAACGACTTTCGAAACACGCTCGATCATTATTTAAGCAGTCGTAAACTGTTAGGAAGATTAGATTAATATTGCTCAAGTTTGAGTTACACTGAGAATCTGTTCGCGGTATATACATGTGTATATATCGGCATGAGATCATTGACTTAGATCTATCGTAGAATTTTCATTCGACAAGTCGAAATATTAGAGAAGAAATATGCTTCGAAGGGATATCGTTCGCGCAGGTGCAGCAGGTGTTGCGTTATAGTATTACACGGAATCGCTGTGTACTCGAGTGTTTGAGGGAACGTATATTTATTTCCTGCATTGTATTCTCGTACTTTGTGTTCACAGTTCCTCCTGAACGCGCGCATTTGATCACTCTCGAGCCGTAAATTTCATTTCGAACTGTGCATAACCGACCGCCGTAGAAATAAGTTTTCTATATGTTGGAATTGTTCGAAAGCGATCCTGCACTGTGGCGAATAACTCCGAGTTCACACACACACACACGCGCGCACACACACACATTTCCCTCCCTGTGCATTGTATTTGTGCCCGACAAAGTGAAGAAGCGGTTGTAGATAGCCGTGCTTACAAGTGCATCGGGCTAATAATGATATTATGTAAATACACAATTAAAACGCGCGAGCTAGAGACGCGTGAAAACAATACAACAAGATCAAATACCACTACTCCTAGAAACGGAATAGAATGTACAACATAACGATAACGATTGTAAAATGAATTTTATGACATAAGTGCCTATGGCAATTTGCATGCAGTACGTCGATGTCGCGACGAATCGAAGTGTCTAGTGAAAGTTAGAAAAATTATGAAACTACAATATTACGCAATTTAGTCTTTGAGGCATGTATTGAAGAGATATTGTTGTACCTATGTGATCTTTTATATTTACAATGAATATATACACACACGAAGACACGTTAAACCGAAAACAAGATGAAAATTACTAAAAAATGTGAAAATTCTCTTCTCCCCGAAGCTATTCTCTATTTACTGTAGTAGGAGAGTACTTTGTATCTTGTTACCTCCCGATATATATATATATATATATATATATATATATATATATATATATATGTTCATACGTAAGCAGAACTTGACTTGATTGTACAACCAAAGCACAAGTCAAAGAGGAATATAAAATTTAGTGGTTGCGTACTTATTGATTTCAGCATTCATATAAGCTCTAATTGTAAATTATACATATATATGCGCGCGCACACACATGCACAAACTATATATATATATATATATATATATAGTATATGTATATGTATATATATGTATATGTATGTATATATGTATAGTTTATAGGAGGAGAGTTGTATTGTGTAATAGTCGAATGTGGTGCAGGTTACAGGAGTTTCAAAACGAAGCTCAAACAATAGCATTGGACTGCACACGTGAAACTTCATACTCATTCCGCGCGCAAAACCGGTCAACTAATAATTTTAAACCGTAAGCTCTACCCTTTGTCACACGCATATGTCCTACAAACTACTTGGTTGTTTGATTACCGGAAGAAAAAAAAGAAGGAGAAAAAAAAACATATTTTGCATCCATCTATTGTACCTGCTTTGAAACTCGAATTGCCTTAATGACAATTATATACATCTGTATCTGTAAATATAGACAATACAACGGGAACTTAGCGCGTAAGAGATAGAATAACGTTTTGATGTGCTCATTTGGAGGAAATAATTTATAAGGCATATAGAGATCAAGGGAGACGAAAAAAAAGAGAGAGAGAGAGAGATATGTACTTTGTAGCAATCATACGTATTGTATCCACCATATTTATGCGAGTAGTTGCATAAATCGTTCCTTTTGTGCAGTGGCAGCTAAAAAACTGACTAGTTCTATTATTATATAATAATAGAAGCAGTACACAAAATTTGTGTTATATATATTATATATATATAAAATAAAGTTGATTTACACGACGTGTTTTTTTCTATCTTTTATATTCCTCGTATGAAACCAACATACGAACATATTGTAATATGTGTACATGAGTTTTTACGAGCATTCCATGAAGAAAGTCAGAGATTTCTTACAAATATGATACAAAGATTCTTCCTTTTCATGTATTGTAATTTCTGCAACGCATTATATACTTTATCTGAAAGCGATCATCAAATTTGTAAATGTTTTTCGAGTTACCTAAATATGATCGAGCATAACGACAATATTAAAAGCAAGTATGGTACACAAGCGAGCTTGCGAATATTCAGAGAAATAACTGACATTGTCGAATCAAACATTGGAATTCTTTCATGCTTCGTCCGATTGCGAATAACCTGTTTTGCAAGAGAACGCTCATATATATATATATATAAACATCCACACCTAAGCTATGACATATCTTTACACATTACAAGCTTCTACAATGAAAAATCTCATTTATACGAATAGAATTCCGTTAATCAACTTTATAGTACATGTAGCATCGAGACATACATTCGATGAGAAATCGATTACTTTTAATTAAGTCGCGAGTTGAAGCAGGTATGGTTGGTAAGATACAAAAAAAATAAGACCGACTTTATACAAACATACGCAAAACATACCTTTTTTACAAATAGATGTATAAGAACTTAGAGATACGTTTGTACATATTAATTCTCTCTATCGAGTACAAGGCATTGGATACAAACTGTAAAAATTGACTAATTTGTTTGCCCTACTTTAATTATCGTCAACCATAAACGTTGATAGAAGTACGGGAAAGAGATTCTTAACTGATCATATTAATAATAATCGATTGATCAAGATCAGCAATTGTAAATTATTTAACAAGATTTCCTCTTAATATATATATATATATGTATATATATATTAAGAATGTATCTACACACATGGACTGCCATTGCCATCTTTCGGGGGGGTGAACGAACAATTAATTCCGAATAAATAAAGTTATGATCAACATTTTCCCGCGTTTACAGCCGTAAATTCTACCAGTAAAATGAATTACTCAGAAACTCGGCGGTAGATTTGTATAAGGATGAAGCGCTTTGCTTTAAGCCGGTAAACAGCGACACGACTCCTTCCTTATCGTCCTCTTGCTCCTCCTCCTCGGGCAAATAATCGGGCATTTCATCGCCGTCGCTACTGTCGCCAGATTGCACCTGCAAGAAACATGTTATAATTCCCATCGGGACAAACTCTGCATCGAAACATCAATCGATTATTTATATAAATATGCGAAAATATCGATACGAAAGTAGAATAGAGGTGAGCTGCGAGCCGATTTCGAGCCATCGCACAACGTTCTTACCAGCTTCACGAGAAACTCCTGATTGAATTTATTTCTCGTAACCAGTCTCGCCTTCATGTTGTCCGTGTTCTTGTCGATCGCTTCCGCGATTTGCTTAGCCGTGACGTAGTTCAACGTACGCATTGTTACACGCTGATGCTCCACATCGACGACGAGCGAGACGAGGCCGTCGATTCTGATTAAAGTCGCTTCCAATTCGGCACGGGTTTCCTGATACATCAATGATATCACCATTGCAGTTCACAATCGACGTAGAACCATCTTCGTGATATGATATTAACAAACTGTGAGGTGATTTCTGATTACCGGTAGCAAACCTTGAACATGCAGGACTATCATGTGTGTCTTCAGCTTTTTCGGTTCTATGACTCGCCTGCATCGGCTGCGCAAGTTATATATTGGTGGTTTCATACGTTCTATGTCGTCTTTGATGTTTTGCGCTCGATTTGATATCTTCGGCTCGCTCAGACTATATTTGTTTATGGTCGCTTCCAGTGATTCGCGCACACCAAAGGTCGAGGTTATGTGTATGTAATTATCGACATTCTTGACAAATATCTCCAGAATGTCTAAAGCTAAATTAACAACATCTATATCAGGTACTTCCAAAACATACGCTACGTACGATAGAACCGTTTTGTCCTACAACACAAATAACAGGTCGGAACTTATATCCTGCGCAAACTGTATAGATAAAGAGAATGATAAGAGAATGATCTCTTACATATATGTATACGATTTTTATACATATAACTCATGTGCCTAATTTCTGAACTTTTAACCCTAAAAGTAGCTCAGGAATCACCTGATTGGCTGAGAAGCCACTTTTATCGATAAAAATGAGTTCAGAATATAAATCGGAGTTTATGACTTGTTGACCTTTCTATTATAATATTATGACTATGATTATATATATATGTATATACATGTATTGTAATAGAAAGGTCAGTAAGCCATAAATTTTCTGGCCAATATTCTGAACTCACATTTGCCTTGACAAAAATGCCTGAAACACAGCTTCTCAGCCAATCAGGTGATTCCTAAACCACTTCTAAGCCACCAGAGGTAAAAGCTCAGCTTGACCTCAGAATATGGACGATTGAGTGACAAACTTCAAGAACGAGAGCTCTCACCTTCAGGATGGTATCATGATTCGCAAGATCATTCGCAAGCTTTCTGTACGTCTGGAGGGTTTCCTGCAGCTCCTGCGGGTCCAGAGAATCTTCTCCGTCCATTGTTCGCGGGTGTTACGTTGACATTAAACACACCTGAGAATTCGCGTGCCCGACCGACGGGGACTTGTTCAGTCTTTCTACCGAGATTCAGAAGGCGTATCGTTTCTCCAATAGCGACAGCCGCGGCTCATCCTACCACACATCACCGTCGAGGATCGAGTCCATCCTCGAGTCGACGAACGTGCCCCGGCCTGTTTCCTCGGTTATTACGCCGCGACGATGTCACACAGATGTTACCTGGCGGTCGCTCTAACCTTACTTACTCAAAACCCGAAGATCGAGCGACCATCGGGAGAGCCTGCGAACACGATGCGAGGGAGAAGAAGCGGTCGGTATTTGGCATTTGATCAAAATCGATCGGCGAGGGACGCTGCCTCCGAGTTATCGGAGTCGTTTTTACTCGGCACCGGGGAGAGGTGGGATGCAAAGGGCTGACACGCACGCAGACTCTGGGAACGCGTAACAATCTTTTACAATGGTAAACAAAGGCCGAAGGGGTCCTCGCAGCGTCCTCGCTCTCGTCAATATGGAGCGTACGAATGCGCATGTTGTAAACAATGCGCGCGATAGCGTACCTTCGCGGTCTCCGGAGGAATCTTCGTCCCGACTGTGAACCGACACGACGGCGGATCGAACGCGCGGCAGCTTCGCCTTTTCCGCTAGACGACCACGCTACAGCTGACCACCGATGTCAACAGTGACCGACGTCAATTGGCGTGGTACTGATAAGCTGCTGGCGAGGGAAAACTAGAGAGAGAGAGAGAGAGTTTCCGTCGGCAAGATCGGCACCATCTTCCGTGCGGAAAGCGAGACAGATAGATATCCGCGAATCCGCGATAGAAGAGGGAAAAATCGCGCAGGTGCACGTCAAGTGCAGGTCGCGCGGACGGGGGTGCACTCGTCGCATGCGCACGAGGAGGTCATGTACAGTATTGCTACTCGAAATTTTGTAATCCGTGACGAGGTAATTAGTAGCAAGGCAATTTTAATTCGTGAAAATAAATTAATAAATTGATAATATATGTGTTAAGCTAATATATGTGTAAGCTGAGTAAAATTTATTTTGTTTGAAAGTTTCGAGTAGGGGTTTGAAGTTTAAAAAGTGGATCCACATACACACATATACTCACGTGCAGTATTGCTAATTTAATATTTATAAATCTGTCATGAGGTGAACGTCCCAATTAGTGACAAGGTGATCTTATCGTAAAAATAAATTAATAACTTGGTAATATATGTATTAAGCTAAGTACATAAATTAATTTCGTTCGAAAGTTAGAACATTCGTGTGGTTCTACTTACATATTTCACACTTATGATATAAGATTTCAGTTAATTTCTAACTCTTTCCCTATGAGCGCGTAATATTATTTAATATTAAATATTATATTCTAGCCATATTCTTAGAATATCGAACTAAATATAATATTCTGATAATATTCTAGTAATATTATTCGACAAGGTAAGTTGGCGACACCGGCAGCACGTGACGGGCGCGCGAAAGTTGAAGGAGAATGCGCGGCGTGCTCCAGAGGCGACGGCGGTGGCGCCCAGCGGCCGCGCGGCCAACTAGCACAATATGGTCGACGTTCGGCCAATGTCGCTTATCAACAACATGGCGGACGCGACGAGGCTCGTCTTGTCCCTCTGATGCACCGTCGTTGGCCATACGTCGTGTCTCTACGGCTTCGCGCACCACCATTCGCAATACTCGACTCGAGCAGGTCGCAACAACACGAACGAACGATCATCGTCGGCTCGCTAAAAAAAAAAAAAGAGGTCGATCGTCTTAGCGCCGAGCGTGACCAGGGGTAGGGACGAGCGGAAGTGGACAAGCTTTTACTCGGCGGAGAGGGGGAGAGGGTATATTTGTCACGCACTGACGTCGCCGGGTCATTCGGTGAACGCGCGCTGTACGAAGTGCACGAAAAGAAGGACGGGTGAGAGGAGCGACGACGACGAAGAGAGAGATAGACTCTGGCGACACAGACTCGGCGGGTCTTCGAGGTGACAAGATCGCGCCTTCTCTTGTGATTCTCGACTGTATATGTGTGCATGCAACCCGTTGTGCGTGGTGCGATGGAATTCGTAATGATAAAGGACATTCGACCGGGCCAAAAGAACATCAACGTAGTGTTTATCGTTCTAGAGGTTAGCCACCCTACTATCACCAAAGAGAACCGCGAAGTTCGAACGTTCAAAGTGGCTGACAGCACCGCCTGCATGAACGTCTCCATCTGGGACGAGCCGGGTCAGCTCCTGGTGCCCGGCGACATCGTGCGGCTCACCAAGGGATACGCCTCGGTCTGGCGGCAGTGTCTAACTCTATATTCCGGCAAGACCGGCGACATACAGAAGATCGGGGAGTTTTGCATGGTGATAAACGAGCAGCTGAACATGAGCGAGCCCAACCCGGCGTTAGCCCAGCAGTTGGTCAATCAGAGCGGCTCGCCTGGTAGCAATGTCAATAACAGCATCACCAACAACGGCAACGCGAACAGTATGTCCGGCCAACAACCGGGCGGACGGCAGCCCTTGGTACGTAAACGCCGGATCGTTTCGATCCTTCGCTCCGAATTTGAACTCACTTTCGTCGACAAAATAGCTCTGAATTGGCCTGTCAGCCAATTGGGTAGTTCCTAAGCCATTCCTTTATGATTGGCATTCACGGTTGGATTTTATATTTAAGACCATCCCGGGTTCATCTTCAGATGTCTCGTAGCCAATGAAACAAGTCGTACAACATCTGAAGATAAATTTGAGACGGTCTTGCAGCGGTGTTTATAGTGAGAATTTAAGACGTAAGATGTACTCAAGTTTTGAGCCTAGAAAATAGCGGGAGGATAAAATGAGCTTCTTAAGAATTCGTCGAGAGATTTGCACTATACGTAGGCTTAAATATGACCTAATTATCGGAGGAATTGAAAGACGATTGACCATTCGAAAGCTGAGATATTCGTAACCAAAGTGGAGCAAAAAAGTCGTATAAAAGTCAAGATGACTTCGAAATGATGTCATCTTCATTTTTATGTGACTTTTTGTTCTACTTCGGAACTGGAAATGACACTTTTTTTTACATGCTCCTCGGGATGATAATGTTTTATTTTTAACTTACATTTTTAATTTCTTTTAAACCATATTTAGAATTTTTACGAAAAATTATATTGATATTAACACGTTCATTGCCAAGCTGAAAATTGGAATTTCGTATTTTTAAAATTTTTTAATTTAGTTTTTATTGTGCTCAAAATAAGTTAATATATTGTTTATATGCTTTTATTAGTATGTACATAGGATTTATGTATTCTAAATATCTGTTACGCGATAACGCGTGATCGGCCGTTTTGTGAGAACTCGCATCACGCGATATCGCGTGATCGGCAATGAACGTGTTAAGGACTAATATAGAAACGTTATATAAACATTTCAGAATTATTGACCATTTTGTTTTTAAAATACAGCGGTACAAAATTGCTGTACTACTCGAAAAAAATATACATATGCACGTATTTAAACATTTATATACCTTTTTTCGGCGCATCCATACTAAATCAACTAATGTATAAAAATTGCATTAATAAGAAATATGAAAAATATTTTCATATTTGTAATATATATATACATACGTGTATATATATATATGTCTACCTCAACTTCGTTTTAAATTAATATTTATTATTTAGATAGCGAAATAAATGTGTAGGAACATAACTTTGCTTGATAAATACTAAATTTATGAGTGGTTCCCTGGATGCACCGCTGAAAATGGCACCCAGCGTAATAACTACCGTAAGTCGTAAGAAATTGACAAATCACAGTCTAATGAGGAGACTAATCGATTGGAATTGGTCAATTTCTTACAGCTTGAGGCCTAAAGCTCAAGTTTTACGTCTTAAATTCTCATTGTAGACACCGATTTAAATAGTATTATAAATATGATTTAAGAAATTGACCAATCACAGTACCCATCATCGAACGTGAGGAGAATAATCGACCGTGATTAATCAATTTCTTAAGTCTTAAGGCTTAAAAAACTATTGTAGACCGGGACTATAAAGCCTTAAGGCCAAATCACACTAGCGATTGCCGATTGTATTACATTTGACGATTATAAAATTTTCTAAATGGCAATCACTGACCTCAATAAGTGGCTACTTTGCTCAGATTGATTGAAAAGTAATCGCCAATCGCAATTCAATCGGCAATCGCTAGTGTGATTTGGTCGTTAGATGCACTTTTATCGACGAAACTAAGCTCAGAATATGGGATCTCTGAACATTCAAATTGCCCGTCTCCAAGCGGCGTATCTCCGCTTATACATCTCTTTCTCACATCTCGTATATGGCCGTGCTTATCGCGGTGAAATATATGTTATTGTAGATCGCATTAGCATGAGTAGCGTGTACGATAATCGCGGCCGAAGGCAAGCCGGCTAACGGAAGAGGAAAATGAAACGTTCGTCCGCGACGACGGTAGCGGCATGAAACTCTCGGCGCGCGCGGCACTGTTTATCCGTCTATACACAAAGTATATCGAGTTTACGTCAATTCTCGTCAGTTCTCGCAGCTGATGTCCTAACCAAGCGCGATATCTCTCAATAATTCATGATAGCGACCGTACGACTCGCGTGGCAGGGAAGACGAGCTCTCCCTCGACATCGAGGCTGCGTTTTCTTCGGCCGCTCACGCGCTGCAAGCTTCGTCATTCCATTTTCCTTTGGCATGTGAGGTAAATACTAATGCCTGGACATGTACCTAATTGAACATTCTTGTTGTCTCGTTGTCTTTAGATACGAATATTTAATTTTTAAATATAAAACATGCGTGTATTTCAATATATATAATATATTATATATTTTTAAAGTTTGAATATTCGTGTTCAATCCATTTCGTTCCTCTCTCTTTCTATATAGGAACAACAAATTTACCTGTATTCACACATTTTTCTATCTATGATAAAGGTAGATTCCGACTTAGAACCCGCGAACTGAAATATAGTTCGGGCTTTTGCCTTTCACAAAATAATTTCACCTGTCCGCTCATCACCCCCTTCCCCGGCGGTAAATGGGAGTGGAAAATAACTTTGTAAAACACATCTTTTTAATTAATCAATTAAAGGTAATAACAAATAGAAAATTGGAAAAACAATGATGAGATTGCAGCCAAGAGTTCAAATCGTCGAAAATGACGATTCCCGTTATGATTCACCGGGTATACTCCAGGTGTCACTCAAAGTAGCTGTTCCGATTCTGTTTTCCGGGAAAAACCAGCTGGTCGGGAAATTCTGATTTGAAGTTCTTCCAGTTCCTTCGTTTTCAATTATCCCGGAACGGTATTGGATCTCAGTATTTTTGCCCGAAACGGGTTAAAGATCAAAACAACAAAGAATGTCCAGAGTTGGACATCGGTGTACATTCACTTTAATGAATATTCAAAATAGAATTACAGGGCGTAAACGGCCAAAGAGAATGCAGCCCGAGTCGGGAATGTCATTATTATATTCGCGCTACGTGTCACATCTCTCTGCCTCGCGCGACGATAGTCGGATATTTAATTACAGCCGAGCACGGGCTCTGTTCGCGCGTGCACGCGAATACGTGACAGTCACGTTTCACAAGCTGAGCCTATACCGAGCGAGCGAACAACGAATGCGAACTTTCGCGTTGTTAAGCCGAGTATACACCGAGCGAACGAACAATGTATAACACGAATATGTACATTCGAGTCTAAACGTGCGCGAACTTTCCACGATGAAACTACCTTGTGAGCGAATCGCCAACTGAAAGCGTTCCGTTCGACGTTTTCTATTCATTGTGGCGGTACTGTATACCCAGTAAGCAAATTGTTAGCGGTATACCGCGATTGGAAGCGGACTTGGCCAAAATATCATGACGGATCATCACCCATCTGTTATGTTGGCATTAAGTTGCCACGTTGTATGTCAGCATCCTATAAGCGCGTAATATTATTTAATATTAAGTAATATTTTTGGAATATTAATAGATGGTTACATGTCCACTCTTAATAATATTAAAAAAATAATTTTTTATTTGAAACGTATTGCAATATCAATTGTTTTATTATATAAATAAAGTAGAAAGAATTTGTATATATATATATATATATAATATTTTTATACAAATTCTTTCTACTTTATTTATATAAGAAAACAATTGGTATTGCAATATATTTGAAATAAAAAACAATCTAATTTTATCGAACGAATATATATATACGCTATATTTATAGATATTTTTCTATATTATTATTATTTAATTCTTTTTTTAATATTCAAAGAATATTTTTATAATATGCCAAGAATATTATGTGAAGTGAACATATAACATCAATAGAATATTCGTGTAATATTATAAAAATAATTGAATCAGTCGGAATTTTTTGTCGCAATGTGTAAACAAATAAACATTTTTTCCTTACGCATTACGTATTTTTTTTTCAAAAATCTTATTTAAACTGCTCCGGCAGAAAGGTACACGTTAATCGTCGATACTTTTAGCGTTAACATAGGGCTGACATTTCCATTCGGGAAACTTGACGTTCGATAAACATCGATTGTTCCCCCGCGGAGAACCCCTCGGAGACATCTTCGTCACGGCCGATCGTGCGATTCAACGACCGTTTTTCGCGAGAGAGCTGCCGGCAACGAGTGTCGTCACGTGCCGTGACGTCCTTGCGGACACGTGCAGAGCAGCAGCTCTCTCGGAGCGGGGCGCGTGGTTGAGGATAAACCAAATTGAACTTGTGCAATTTTCCGCAGGCCATCCAAAGTAACACGACGCCCGGCAGCGGTGGGACGGCTGGAGGTTCAACGGCCGCGAAAAGCGGCAACGGCAACGCCACCACCGGAGGCGGCAGCGGCGGTAGCGCGGGCGGGGGCGGCGGGGGCGGCAATGTTAGCGGGTCCGGTCTACCCGGTAGCTCGGCGCGATACCCGGCGTCCGGCGGCGACTCGACGACGATCAAGGGCGGACCGGCGAACACGAAGAGCAACTCGCGCGGTCGCGGCGGCTACAGGAACGGCGGTCGCGGTGACCGGAGATAACACATGAGAAGGAAGCGTCTCATCATATATATGTAATAATAATAATAATAATAATAATAATAATAATAACAATAAACGCGCGCGCGTACGCGCGCACGCACGTCCGTGCACGCACGAGGGGGCTGGCCGGCCGCGAACGCGACTGTAATATACCGTTTTATTTTATTTTATTTCTTTTTTAAAAACCTTACGATACCATCATCACCCCCGCGGATTCGTTTCCACCCGTTGAGAGTTCAACGCCAAACGCTGGAACGTAGTGGCGCGAAGAACACGATGATCTCTCGACGATCGCGCGCGGCGTCCGAGGGAATGGGGATCGACCTCCAGGATGCAATTCTGCGCTTCTGGACGTCGCTCGGTCGGAAGGATTGATTTCGGAGCGTTTTACAAAGAGGATTCGACAAGGGACTTGCGACGGAAATCGTACACGGGTCTCTCGACGCGTCTTCGACAAGAGAAAGGTCGGTGCTCGACGCTGCTTCTCTCTCTCTCTCTCTCTCTCTCTCTCTCTCTCTCTCGTTATTCTACACGAAGGATTGTATTACGAAAAAATTGTACTACAGAAGAATTGTGTACAGGACACACGTTCCGGGTAGGATCCTGGTAGGATTCGACGGTCCTCGCGCCATAAACGAATCCGATTGTCGTGCTCGACGTGTCCCGAGCGACCGTTCATTGAGCGGGAGAGAGGAGGTAAGGAAGAGTAAGGGGGAATCGTGCTGTGTCCACTGTGTGGAGACAGATGTCTATTGAAGGGAAAGGAAAGAAAGGAAAAGAGTGAGAGTGTGACGACCGGTTGTGTCTCGTAGTTGTCACGCTGCGAAGGGCCCGGCGAGAACGTCGCGGGCGAATGTCGCCGTGATGGTGATGAACTGTCGGCGGCTCGCGCGCAATTCGAGCAGAGATACCGTGCATTTCGCGAACGTAAATCGCTCATTGAGTTGTCTGTTATCTCGGCGATTATCACAATCAACTCTCTCCGGGCCGCATCAAACTCCGATCAAGGCATCTCGGGTAGCCATGTTTAGGCCTGTTCTGCGATACACCGTATATCGGAGTCGGATGTCGAGACATCTAGCCGACGGTCCAATGAGAGAATTCATTTTTTTCGAGAACGAGTTCTCCTCATTCGACTATGGACTGCGTTCCGACGTCCGACGACGATGCACGACATTTTGTGGAACAGGCCATACGCATTGTCCTTGTTCGATGAGGTCGGAAGCGAGAAAACGCATTGCCGTGAATTCTTCGTGTTACACGTTCGAGTGAATAAGTATATGCACAAAGTGACATTTGTGATCAGTTCAGCGTACATGTAAAATTGTCCGAACTCCTAACTCCTTTCGATTGGTGACATCCTGCAAGCCGATCGTCGCTTGGCTTGATCGGAGTTTGGCGCAACCGGGCTACGGCCACTTGAAACCTGAACAATGCGAGTGTAGTGTTTGCGCGGAGCAGTGCGGACCGGGACCGATGAAATTTACATGTATTGTAACAATAAGGGAGAAAGATTCGTATTTATGGTGCAAATAAAAGAATCACGAGCAGGATTTGTGAGAATCCCCTTTTATTTGTCTTGGAGTGATTTGTCTTTGTTTAACGACGCGCGCGCGCGAGTTTGTGTATTTGACGATTAATTATAAATTATAATTATCTATTGATACTTTCATTTATTTATCTTTTTATGAACCACCTTGTACACATACACACGCACACGCACATAGAAGGTTGGGAAATTTATTTGTTAAACCATTACCATCTTCAACTTGTCTTTAAGATATCGTAATATAAATGTCGATTCACAATAGATATTTTAGGTTTTAAGAAATTGACCAATCACAGTTCATTATTCTCTTCACATTCGACTATGATTGGTCAATTTCTTAAGGTTTAAGGCTTAAAATACCTATTGTGGACCGACACAAAGACGTCTTTAAGTCGTTTTTGAGATGTCTAAAAGACTTCTTATGTCCTGATTTTGGACATTGTGCTGTCTAAATTGTTACTGAAAAACAAAGTTACGGTAACATTGTTACAAGTAATACGTCACTTTCTTGTACGCATATTATCGGAACGCAACCATATAGAAGCTTATCGCACGATAATTGCATGACTGATATACGTCAGTTCTCAAACCGCAAGTTTTCCGCCGAATATCCGGTGGTGTTCGACGTCCTCGCGTAAAAACTCGGCATTCGTTACTCCGAATCCATTTACTCGACACGCCGAGAATTCTTTTTCAACAAACATCGCACTGTAGTTCCCTTAATAGTTATAGGAAGAAGCGCTCTCAATTGTTTATCGTAAGTATGTAAACCATCAATTCGCGCGTCGGGGAGTCATTTTTAAAATATCGGCTTTTTTCGCAAGCACGCACACACATACACACGCGCGCGGCAGCGTGTTAATGAATATAAATAAATATAATAAACGTCAATATGGGACTTTTTGTTCGAAGTTCAAAATAATAAACGAGGACATGTGTATGTATGCATACGTATATATATATGCAACAGTATCGATTCACACTACTGACGCGGCGATTTCTTTTTTTACCAACACGGTGTAGTGATTACGCGTTCGTGTGCAAGGTGTGCAATCGCGAGGAGCGCTCGAAGAGAAAACGAAAACAAGCATGTTTGCACTGTCGTTGCCAACCTGACAAATAAACTCTCTCTCTTTTCTCGCGAACGACTCGAGCGAGAAGCTCCATTGATAACGCGACAATCCTCTTCGGGTTAGGCCTCTCACGAGCGGTTGACAGCTGCCGTGTCGCACCTTTCGTATCTCTAGGTTATGTTCGCGCGTGTACGTTTTCTCGTTACCTTATGTTAATGCCAAGGTAAGCGATCCCGTATCCTCCGCTCTGTCGAAATCTACCCTCTCGATTTAAATCAGAATTTTAATATTTGTCCCCAGGAAAGTGACAGTGATGCCGTGAGCTACCGTATGGACCTTATTAGACCTTTAACACCTGAACGGCTATTCATGCGCAGCAATTCTCCGAACGTGATGATTCATTAATAATTTTTTTATGTCCGGAGCTACACAAAGCGGTATGTTTCTTTTTTATTTGCCCAAACTTGATCAATTAGAATTTTCACTCCACTGTATCGTGCAGAAGTAACCATATTGTATTCACTCATGTTTTTTTAGGAATCCAGTTTTATAAAATTAAATATAAATGAAATATGAAATCTTTGCCTATATGTATGTGTGTGAAATTAAATGAAAATGTAGGAATTAAGATGCAAAAAATGTTTGTAAACATTTTTTTCTTGAAAATAATATTAGCCGTTTCTTTTGAAGTAATATTTTCATAGCAATGATTTCTAAATATTATAGCTTATTTGTATATATTTTATGAAATATTTTGTGTGTGTGCCAAAGAGAACACATAAGAATTTATTTCGTATGACGTTGATTAAATTGTGCAGTGGAAATAAAATAAAAGAAATTTTGAATCCTTATGTTACTTGTCTTTTTTCTCTTATTTCTGGATGGGCATTGTATTAATCATATATTTTTTATCTTTTCCAGATTTCTTCTTTGAGAAAAATATGACACGTTCACATGTAAAGTATCAAATTGCCAGGGACGATGTAGATACAACAGATTATTTGGCACAAAATGTCCCAGATTTTCAAAATTTGTCGAAACTGGAGAACTCATTTTGGAGAAAAGCAACCCAAGCCCTTTTACTAATCTCCGCTTACTTTGTTCTATCAGTGGGCCTTACATTTTACCAACCGTGGCTTTATAATACGTATGTGAGTAATTGTACACCAATTAGTAAGTAAATTAGTAAGTAATTACTTGTCTGTTGCTATCTTGATTATTATAAAAAAATCTTGACGTACCTTCATTAATATTTATCACAATGTCCTCAGGGATTTAATTTTCCTCTGGGAGTAGTGGTTTGCCACTTGGTCGTCAAGTTCATACTGGCCGCATTGATAAGATGCATCAGAAGATGTTGCAACAGCAAGCAGATAAATCTTCCGTGGCAAAGTATAGTTTGGTCATTAATGGCACCTGGCATTGCCAGCGGTGTCGATGTTGGTTTGTCAAATTGGGCGCTTTCATTGATCCACATGTCCTTGTAAGTATATGTTACCTTGGAACGATAATTCAAGCACGATACATTCGGTATTTATGTCTTACATTCGGGATATAATTGTTGAACGACATTTCCTCGCAGGTACACCATGACTAAGTCAACCACTATTATATTTATTCTTGGATTTTCCCTCGTCTTTAAACTGGAGAAGAAGGTAAGGCCAATTGTGCTGTGCATTTTGATTGGAAATAAGATACTAGACTCGTAGACATGTATCTTGAATAGACAAATAATTATCGTTTATCGTAGTCATGGTCACTAGTAGGAATAGTAGTGATGATAGCAGGAGGATTGGCGATGTTCACGTATAAATCTACCCAATTCGGTGTTTTTGGATTTATACTGTGTCTCTTAGCGTCATTCGCGAGTGGCTTTCGGTGGACTATGACACAACTGATCATGCAAAGATCCAAACTTGGCCTCCACGATCCAATAGACATGATGTACTATATGCAACCCTGGATGCTGTTACCCGCGTTATTTGTAGCTTCGTGGTTTGAAGGTAATGCTTACGCTCTTCGATCAGCCAGATTTTAATAGAAAACTTAGTAAAATCCTGCAGTTAACTAGGCCACGCGTGAACGATTAAAGGAATTGATATTTCTTTTGACATATTTTAACATATTGCAATGCGTTCCATCATAATTCAAGGTATTGTAAGTGTATATTATACTTTAGGAAGCAAAATATACGGTAATTTTAAAAGCACCGACTGGAGCGACATCGGTGGCATTTTATTGACTACGAGTGCTGTAATAGCCGGTGCCATTCTAGCATTTAGTATGGAAGTGATGGAATTCTTAGTTGTTACTTATACTTCTAGTCTGACATTGTCGATCTCGGGAATATTTAAGGTAAACGATGACTAATTAATTTCATTACCTTTTCACATACATACTACATAATATATACGCGATATGTCAATATGTCTTATTCTCGATTAAAATTGTGACAGTTATCAAATATCTGTAATTCGTGATATACATATTCAGATATAATATAATATTAGAGATACGTTTTTGTGCAAGTTATTAAATTTTATTATACACAGAGCAATATTTCACACATATACGCAGATGAGATTAATGTAATTCTTACATTTATGCTTCATTGTAGGAAATATTCATATTGATACTGGCCTTCGTTTGGAAAGGTGACCAAATGACTGGCTTTAACTTCATAGGATTGTTAATGTGCCTTGGTGGTATAACACTTCACGTTGTCCAGAAGATATTGGTCAATAGGAAGAAGGCGGTTGATAATTTGGAATTGCAATCAAAGTTGCCGAGTGAGAATCCTAAGCACGAAGAGGGGACCGATTCGAATATACCGTTATTAACGGAGAAATCAACGTCCTTGATGAATCTTCTGAACGCGGAATTCAGCTCAGATGAAGACGGTGGCTCGAGAGAGGGTGACAATTCGACGCAAATACTGTCTGATATTTTGCAACGCAGAGAGCAGTGACACATCGTGAATCTTTAGCTCTAATACACACTGCTCTGCAAGGCGTACTTCAACGAGGAGGAACATTCCAGACAACGTACATTTACAGCTTGTAGTATTTTATATTTTTGCATCATAAACTTTACAGTTGATAACGTTTGAAACGTTGACATCACGGGTTATATTCTAAGATTTAGCGTGTGAAAGTTAACGTAACGAAAAACGCGAAAGAAAGAACGTCAGTCTTTTTAAGTATTCCTTGAGATGGTCTTTTGGATGAGGGTTTATGTAAAGAATTAATCATTATATCATTTTAAGATAATTTGATGGCAAAAACATGTTATATGAGTATCCTGGAAAATTGCGAAGTACAAAGAAAGTGAGATGAGATCGACTTTATTATACATGTATTTCAATATTCAGTAGAAAAAAAATGTGGCTACATGTGAAGAAGCTAAGTCATTGTTTCGAAATATGAACAAATGTTCTGCTTTACAATTGGTTGGTAATCTGTATAATTGATCTTCAATTTAAAAGATACGCTTCCACAATACAACAATAACTCGATCTTTGTTTGCATAATAATTTTCTAGTGACTAAAATAAACGCACAATATATATATACGATAAATTCAAATGGAACTTGATAGTTAAAACAAGCTAGTATAAAATTCAGATATATAATTTATTTTATACAAGAATTTAGAAAAATTCTTGTGTGTGTATGTGTGTGGATGTGACTATATGTAAGTCTTGTAAAATAATAACAGTCGGATAGAGCTAACACGCGCGACAATTCAATATGTTAACAATAACGCATCCTGTCGTACCAAAAAAGAAAATAGAATAAAGTTAATTTTATTTTTATATCCTCATATTGAGGGTGTGAATTTTCTATCTTGTGATTAGAGCTTAATAAATATTTTACATATGAATGTTACTTTTTAGCAAATATATTTATTCTCCTACTTATGTCTTAACTATACAAATGAATGTTCCAAGAATTACGAAATTCCTGACAAATTCAATTTCATTATTAAATATTTGTAAGAGTATCGAATAGAGAGAGAAAGAGAGAAACAATAATAAAATATCATCGATATAATATACTAGATGCATTAAATACACAAAATTATTCAAGATTACATTTATTTTACATGATATTTTGGAGAGCAACACAAGTAACATAACACTGCTCAGAACCCAATCTATTCAGCCGTTACGGCGATACAAAAAATCTTACCTGCTCTTAACTAATTGGGCAGCGTAATTACACCTAGCCGACCTTTGTGTAGCTTCGTGTGAGGGCACTTGGCGCAAGACACTATCGTGTCTCCTGACAATAATTATGCGTTAAGTTTGTCATTACGGTCATTGCTTTCATGTGAAATGATGTCGGTCTTTACAGCCTATATCGGAGCATTACATTAATCCCTTTGCTGCTGAGAACGTGTACACGCCTTTAAGAAGCGGGCATTCGTTAGTAGATCGACTCCCTGCAAAGTTAACGATCATGTGCAAAAAGCTTCGATACACCCATTGATTAAATGCATTATTATATTATATATAAAATTAACAATATAAAATATAATATAAAATTTTTTTAACGGAGGATCTTTTCGGTAAAGATTGGAATAATTGTAGTTCCATTTTTATTGGTGGGCTTTCGAGTATTTTTAAAAAGCGTTGTCACGTCGCAAAAGAAATAATGACCTGCCTCCGTATATGAACCCCATAAGCGCGTAATAATCCTAGAATATTATATGAATATCGTTCAATATTAAAACAATATTTTTATGGTATTATTTTTATGGTATTCTAAGAATGTTATGTAATATTTTTTAATATTATAGGAATATTTTCTTGTTGGTATATATTCATTTCACATAATCTTGGCATATTACACAAACGTTCTTAGAATATTAAAAAAAATAATATAGAAAAATATATATATATATAATTTTTTTAGTATAAAACATTTTTACACAAAATTCTTTCGACTTTACTTAATAAAACAATTGGTATTGCAATATATTTGAAATAAAAAAAACTACAATTATATATATATATATATATA